CTCTCCCACTCCTTTTGGTTCAGATCTGGTTCAGTTTATGGTTCAAGATTGATCCTTGAAAATATGATTTTCTAAATAGGGAATACGATTCCCAGTTGAAGGGAGAGAAAAATTTTTGAAATTCGCCCCTTATTCCGCAATCTTTGGGCGTCCATAGGATGGATCTCTCATCCCTTCAAGAACAGTTGTGTGCACAATTCACCAACCTAGCATTGATATTTTTGAAGCTTTCGATGAGGTAACTACTCTTTTTCTCTACATATAGTTATATAGTCATGGTATTAGAGTTAATATGTTACATTATTTATTACCCCAGTTGCTGCTAATGAAAAGAGGAGGACAAGTTATCTATGCAGGACCTTTGGGACAACATTCTCATAAGATTGTTGAGTACTTTGAGGTATTAATTATGTCCGGTCTTTCTATTATCAATTACCAACGTAAATTTCTTCCTATTACCAATACTAGAATTAAAATCATTAGGAGGAATAAATTACCTCATCCCCTCATCCGATCCACCAACCATTAGTTCCCTTGTTGCAGGCAATTCCTGGAGTCCTGAGAATCAAAGATAAGCAAAATCCTGCAGCATGGATGTTGGAGGCTAGCTCTATCGCAGCTGAAGTTCATCTTGGAATTGATTTTGCTGATTACTATAAATCATCAGATTTGTATCAGTAAGTGAAACTAACTTCCTTTGTGTTGATAAATAGAGTGAATTCCCTCAATGACTTTAGTTTATCCCCATACTCCATCCACAGAAAGTATTAAAAGAATAAACAAATACTTTATGTAAACTTTAAGCATTTTAATTGATATATGTCGTATTACTATCACCAGGAGGGACAAGTCATTAGTTAAGGAATTGAGCACCCCACCTCAAGGATCAAAAGATATCTATTTCCCCACGCAATACTCACAATCAATGTGGGGACAATTCAAATCCTGCCTATGGAAGCAATGGTGGACTTAAATGCTCAGAAGTTATAAAATGAACAATTTTAAACCTCATCAGGACACCTGAATGCATGGGCTAAAATAATGTCTGTCTGGTTCAGTGAAAGTTCACATGATCTGACCACCATTATTGGTGCCATGTACGTATCCGTCTTGTTCATTGGGGTCAACAATTGTTCAACTGTACAACCAGTTGTTGCCATGGAAAGAACAGTATTTTATCGAGAAAGAGCTGCTGGGATGTACTATGCTCTACCATATGCCATTGCACAGGTGAGAAGAAGTTTTTCAATTCTTAAAAGATGAATCTTTCATTTACCCAATTCTTTATGAAACTGGATAAAAAACTCAATACTTTGACCAATAATAACCTGTCTAAAAATAGTTTTGGTAGGACTGATACCTGTTCATATTAATTATGGATTTATGGTTTCTTCTCAAATGTATTCTGTCAGTGAAAACACATGTTAAAATTAATACCATGAATTATGTGTTGTAGGTGATCACTGAATTACCATATGTCTTCATCCAAACCACATATTATACGCTTATTGTATATGCCATGATCAGCTTCCAATGGACAGCAACAAAGTTTTTCTGGTTCTTCTTCATCAATTTCTTCTCATTTCTCTACTTCACATACTATGGAATGATGACTGTGTCCATCACACCAAACCACGAAATTGCATCCATCTTTGCAGCTGCTTTCTATGGACTCTTCAATCTCTTCTCAGGCTTCTTCATTCCCAAACCGGTAAGTTCATCTCTATCGTGAGGAGGACCTATTATTTTTATTTTTATTTGTGCAATGGCTTGAGCTTTCTGAACTGCTTTTGGTGTTTTGTGCCCTGATGGTTTTTGCAGAAAATTCCCAAATGGTGGATTTGGTATTATTGGATATGTCCAGTGGCATGGACAGTTTATGGGCTGATCATATCACAATATGGAGACTTGGAGGACCAAATTAGGGTGCCTGGAGGTGGGACTCAGAGCATTAAATCCTATGTCACAGACCACTTTGGGTATGATACTGGTTTCATTGGGCCTGTTGCTGGAATTTTGGTTGGTTTCACAGTGTTCTTTGCTTTTATGTATGCATATGCCATCAAAGTATTGAACTTCCAACAGAGGTAGAAATATATGAATCAGAAGCTATATATATTTGGGCTGACACTACTTGCAAACACCTCTATACAGGTTCTTCAATTAAAATGCTTCACACATCAAAAGAAGTGATGCTGGTGTAATTTCTAGTATCAAAAAGGTGTAGTTCTTACTATGTAACAAGGAGTTTAGAAGGTATATTTATATGTGAAAAGGTAGTTGCTGATTTCTTGTTCTGTTTTCCTTCTTTTTTTTAATTCCTTGAAAAGAAGGAAGATGGACTCTTAGCTTGCAAACTAGAGAAGGCCAGCTCATCTGTACGAGTGGTAATAGCTGTTGATGCTCCTACTACTCATCACACCTCCTCTACTGAAGTTATGCTTCCACAACATGATATACCACTTCCAGCTACTAATATTCATTCCATGGTTTCTCGACCTAAGCATGGGATCAGTAAGCCTCGCATTCCCCTTAATTTATCAGCTTCACGGCTTCCTTTACCTGAGAGTGATTTTGAACCCAGTTGCTTCTCACAAGCTGTCAAACATGCTCATTAGCAGTGTGCTATGGAGGAGGAATTTAATGCTCTCCTCTCCAGTGGTACTTGGGAACACTGGCAAGCACCTCCCCACTCTAATGTCATCGGTTGTAAGTGGGTCTTCCGTATCAAGCGAAATCCAGATGTCTCTATTGCTCGCTACGAATCTCTTCTTGTTGCCAAAGGGTATTCTCAACGAGGAGTGGACCTGAAGGAAACATTAAGCCCTGTCATTAAACCTGCAACTCTGTGTACCATACTCTCTCTCGCCATCTCTCATAATCGGCCATTATGTCAACTTGATGATCAAAATGCTTTCTTGCATGGTACTCTTGACGAACATGTGTATATTATTGGAGAAAATGGGGTCACTGTAACTTTGGAGGAGAAGCTCTAAGGCGGGTCTGATGATACTGTCTTTAGAACGTTATTTGCCCCCACTCAATTTCACTGAGTTTGCTATTGGGTTACAGGCAAATTCGTTCCCAGGATACAACAGAGTCTTGGGCGAGAATCTGCAACCAGCAAAGTTGAAGAGTCTCCAAAGAAACCTTCTGTGAGACTGTAGCAGGCCGGACTTAGAGAGAGAGAGAGAGAGAAAGTGAATTTTTGAAATTGTGTGATTTGGTGTCTGATAAATGCTCCTTAAATAATTTGTGAAGAAGTATGAGGAAAAGGTGGGTGCTGGTTTAGAGAAGGCACCTTGAACAGTCACAATTTCAAACATTGTGATTGTTTAAAAAGTAGTTAACAGTTGGTGGCTGTTAACTTTGAATTGTGCCTCTTGATCACACCCGATCGAATCGTGACCGTTGATCTCATCAACGGTGATCAACGGCAAGCAACGCATCAAAACCAAAGCTGCCCATCGCGAGCCATGCGAATTGCGAGCAAGTGTGCCTCTAAAGCGCTTCATTGCGCTACACACACGCGTGCACACGTGTGCGTGCGCGTTGCACAGTATCGAATCCCCATACTCTCCTCTACTAATTATAAGGAGTGTAAATAAGCTCCTATTGAAATACTGAAAACAAAACTTATAATTTTCCAATGTGGGACAAGTTCAAAACTGGGTTTTTGTAAGAGAAAACTGATTTTTCAATCAAGTGTGCAGGTACAATTTCTCATGTAATTGACCAATCAAACCCATTGGATTTAATCTCTTATGAGATTAAAATCCAACATATATGTCACAGCCACCTGGCTTTGTTGACAAGCACTTTTCATCACATGTTTGCTATTTAAAGAAGTCACTATATGGGCTCAAACAGGCCCCTAGAGCATGGTACCAAGCCCACTCTTTTCTATTACAATACACATTTCAAGTCTCCCTTGCTGATTCATCACTCTTCATTATGGTGTTGATGTCTTATTTGTTCTCATTTATGTTGATGATATCAACGTCACTGGTTCTGATCCTAGGGATGTAAATTTGCTTATTGCCTTTATGAGCTCCACCTTTTCTATTAAGGATCTCGGTCCTCTCCACTTCTTCTTGGGCATTCAGGCCACTCGTACTGAACATGGTCTCTTTTTTTCACAACGCCAGTACATAGTTGATCTTCTTTAAACAGAGCATCTTGATGGATCAAGCCTATCTCTACTCCCATGGCTCCTGGCACTTCTTTAAACAGAGCTTCCCTAACTTGTCACAACTCTGTACATATCTCCTCTGTATTCACCTATAAATATGTATATGAAATACAAGAAGATAAATGAAAAGATGTTTTCCATTCAACCAAGGTTGGTTTAGAAATAGTTACATTATCTCAAAGTCCTTCAGCAGAACCGGAGTGGGGTGATACACAGAGGCGTAGTTTGCATGATTTTCCCAAGATGTTTGAAAATTCAAGATGACAAACACACCTAAGCAATGTTTTGAGAAACAACCCATAGGCTGAATTGTTTTCCCTCTAGGTCATGGCTGTCTGGTTCAACCACCCAAGTCGACCAGGTCAACCGGTGGCATGTCATCATATAGATAATTAGATATGTGATTAATATTATATAATATATACATATATTCAAAATATATAATTACACTCTGCATATAAAATATATTTATTTATTTATTTCGAGCTTTAATTTTTTAGATTCACAGTTTTACCAATCGGACCTGCAGTCTGGTCTGGTTCTCTAAACTAAACAGTAAACATTGCTCCTCCTAGTCCTAAGCATTCATTTAATTTCCATGACTGTAGGACTGTAGGCGATCTTTTGTGGATTCACATGGAGTGTGTCTCATTTATCAAAAATTGGGAAATGGGAACTGCCCAAGCCCAACTCCCACTTACCCTTATTCTCTTCTCCCCTTGAAGCCCACGTGATTTTTGTGGGAAAGCTCGTGGGCTGGTTATTCAGTCAAATTTTCAGCACAAGACGAAAATTGACAAATAGCCATCTCTCCATCTTCACGTGCATTGAATTACTTATACATTCCCATCACGCCAACACTTTTCCTTAATGTCCAAACAAACCCTTTTGATTACTTTAAATCGCCACTGCCCACAAGAAGGTTTGCCCAAATCATTATAAGTGGGTAAGTTATATATAATTTCATCTCAGGTTTGGTAATTTGGAGCATTGCAAAATATATCTCGCACTAAAACTTCATCTATTTCGACGCACACCATTCCAGAGCAGAGCAGAACTTGAATTAGAGAGAGAGAGAGAATGGGTTGGCCAAGTGAGGTGGTAAACTTGGTTTTGCCACTGTTTCTCCTTTTAGAACTGGGAACCCACTGTGTAGCAGTGGACAGAAGTTCATTCCCACCTGGATTTGAGTTTGGTTTCAGCACCTCCGCCTATCAGGTACGTAATCCTTTCGCTCATGATCAGCACCACCCCACCCTGAGCAGCTGAGCTCCTCCATCGCCCATCTTAATTGCTTCTTTTTAACTTTCTGCAAATGTACTTACTCATCATCAGGTTGAGGGAGCAGCTCATGAAGATGGGAGAGGACTTAGTATTTGGGATACTTTCAGTTGTATTCCTGGTATTGCCGAAAACCCCACTCTTTTACAATTACGAATCATTTATCACCAAAATCGTAGCCTTATATATCCAAACTATATGGGGTCCATCGGCTACGTGAATCCCGTTTTGTCATTCCGTTCTGTTTGTTTGAGTTTTGATTGACAGGTAATATCTTAGGCGGAGGAAATGGAGATGTGGCAGCTGATGTGTATCATCGGTACAAGGTATTCTGCACTGCAGTAACACCACGATCACGATGAACACGATGACTAATGACGACTATAGCTTATCGTCTCCTGTAGCCTGTAGGCGTTGCCCAGTCGCTAATTGACACAGAATACTTAATAAAATTTTCAACTTGGACCATGGTAGGGACTAGGGACCCTTATATGCAAGCCCAATTTCTATCAGGAGAATCCTTTCCTGCGTATTGTCCTTTGTACATCCATTGAACCCTGGCCTTATGCCAATGCAACGATTGATTCTGATAGGTCTGATCAATTTATAATAGTAGGTTCATGTCTAAGCTTTTTGTCCAAATTATTTTAAGTAGATTATACAAAATCGTATAAACTTAGAATTATATATAATGGACCCATGTGCATTTTGCATATAAAATAAATGTAAATTACAATTGGCTCATATATGGTAAGTGATTGCAAATCTATGATATGGTATCAGAAGAGTCTTGATCCATCAAAACCCATCCATGAGTTGTGACAAATAACACCTGATCGGCTACCACGTTTTATGATACCAATTGATTGGTCAATATCATACTCAATTGCAATACACTTATACACTACTTCAAACAAATTGTTGAATTGTGTCTTATGTTTTTATTCCTTTATAGCCAATTGTACTGTAGAATTAGTACCCTTGATCATGTATTTGTAACATCTCCGGCTGGTTGTAATGGAGGCTTGGTATTGAATCCCGCATGAACCAGGTTTGAAACGTGCAAGGTGAATTTATCTCCTCATTCCTTCTATCTATTCCGTCCCGCTCCTTTCTCTCACTTTCACTCTCTCACCACACCCAACTGAACCAATCCTTTTCACTCTCACTCTCTCCCTCTCCAACCGGCGGCGACCAACAGTCATCACCGGCGACTGGAGAAAACCGATGGATGACAAGAGGGAGAAATAAACAGATTTATGTTTGCTCTCCCATTCAATAAACGGGGGACTTACCGGCAGTAACTCCATTCAAGAATTGTTGTTGCTGTCTTTCTTTTCCATAAAACTTTACTTGCTCGCCCCCGATTCTCTTGTTCGAGTGTATTCATTGACGAGTGTAGCAGCGTGAGCACCCGGTCCACGGTAATCCTCATCGTCCAAACCGGCCAACCACTTCTTTTATTAACTACTTCTAACCGTTTTATGGACGTCCTCCACCATGTTAAACAAAGGCCAGTCGGACCTCAACCAGAGAGACTGGACCTCTACCAGAGAAAAGATGGACCTCAACCACAGAGACTGGACCTCTTTCAAGAATCTGCCATTAAATCTCTGGCAGAGCTCAAGAAAAATCCCAGGAGAGAGGGAGAGAGAGAGAGAGAGAGAGAGAGCCCTGTAAAATACATTAGGTGGCTCCACCAACAAGCTTCTGCTAATTCTACGGGAGGCGATTCAGTGATAGTCTCAATTTGACTCTGCGACAATCCGATGATTGTTGGAACAGAGTACGAGCTGCTACACACCTTCCCGTTGACCCCCTCTAACTGTAAGCAATGAAGCTGCCTCATGAGCTGCCGACCACATATCATCAGTAATGAAGCCACCTCATGAGCTCATCGACTGCCTTCTAAGCTGTAACGCCGCGACGTCATAGGCAGTGGCTGCCATCTCCTGCGTTTTGAAACTACCCAACCAAATTCTCGCTTTCTTCCCCGGCTCACGTATCTCCGACACCCATTTCCCTCCAAACTCCCCGGTAATTCCCCCCACTCTCTGCTACACTGCAGTTGCTCTGTTCCATGAATTTCCAACTGAGCAATTATCCGGTGTATTTGCTAATTCCTGCCAAACAATCAGGGGACGAAGAGTGTGAATCATGCATGGCCATATATATAAGCAAGTGATCGATGATGAATTGATGATGGGTGTCAACCTGGACTCTTATTACGAGACGAAGGGAGCTTCCATGTAGCTACATGAGTGGTTGTGTGAGTGAGTTTATCGATATATATACAAATCCTGAAATCCAAATTTAATATATACTCAAATGAGCGATGCATTTGGTTAAGTTGAAGAGTTTCGTTTGAAGAACAACTAGATCATACTAAGCTTCATCATCTCTGTCTTCCATTAACACACTTGTGAGTATTTGATAATTTTGAATACGAGAGCTTTGAACAGATTCAACGATAACAGTCTCCCCCCTCCTGTCAGAGAGAGAGAGAGAGCGGCGGTTGCAGCGGCGAAGGTTGTAGCAGCGGTTCCGACGGCGTTGTTGTTTGGGCGGTGGAGATTTAGACGATGGGGAGGGAGGAGAAGAGAAGAGAACACCAGCGACTGTTCAACACGTCACTTCATAAATTTATCCCCCAAAAAATTGCTTTACGTAAATCTGTTTATTTTCCCCTCTTCTCGTCCACTAGGTTTCTCCGGTCGCCGGCCATGGCTGTTGGTCGCTGCGGATTGGAGAGGAGAGAATGAAAGTGAAAAAGGTGGGTTTGGTTCAGTGCGGCGAAAGAGTGAATGGGAGGAATGTTTTTAATTGACTCTCACGTTTCAAGGAAACGTGGTACATTTTTATGCTGAATTGGGATCTGCTTCTCACACAGGGCGCCTCACAGGCACATCCCACTGTGTATTGGGAACATCTCCCATTAATAATAACAGAAGATGTGTGAGATGTGCCTGTGAGGTCGGTGTGAGGCACCATGTATGAGGAGTAGATCCGATCTCCTGAGCGAAGAACTCTGCCCTGATAGAAGCTGGACTGGGGGGAGGGGGTTGTGGGTTTGGGGCATGGACAACCCCCATTTGGTAGCACCTTGGAGCCAAAAGAAGGATGTATTTGTAAGATTATTTATTTGGGTTCTCCTGATATAACCATTGCATATTTTAATTATTCCATCATATTTGGAGATTTTGATACATCTCTTAAAATTGTTTTTATGAAATATTTTGTGATATAGATACTTTGAACTTTAGTTATGAATGAATGTTACATATATGTTTGACGTGGTGCAATGGTTATATTTTCAATGATGGGCTTTTATATTTTTTCAGGAAGATGTTCAAGTTCTTAAGAGCTTGGGGACCGATGTGTATAGGTTCTCAATATCTTGGGCAAGGATATTTCCAGGTACAACAAACATGTTAGATGGCGGCATGTAAGAGTAACAAATGATACTACATATTAGAATAGTTTTGAGTTCATTTTAATGTAAGGGCAACCAATAGTATAACCAACAAATATGGGAGTGTCTGCCCATCGGATCATCATTTAGGGAACTTGTCTAAATAACCAAGGAATTGCAGACAACACAGTAGTTCAGTTGGTCACTTGGTATTTGCCTAGTTGTTTAAAAATGGGATAAAACACAAATCAGTCCCCAAAATTTTGCATCAGTACTTATTTTCCTGTTGTAATTTAGTGGTTTAATCTCACAATGTGCAATTCAATGTACAGGAGGATCAGCAAGACATGGTAAAGTGAACCCAAAAGGAGTGCAATACTACAACAATCTTATAAATGAGTTATTACAGAATGGTATTAGTCGAATGGTTTCCAATTTCCATATATTTCATCTTGAGTATTATTATTGGATTACATGCGACTCCTTTCTTCAGGTATTGAGCCTTTTGTGACCATTTTTCACTGGGACGTGCCACAAGTTCTTGAGAATGAATATGGGGGATTCAGAAGCAAGAGAATTATGTAAGATCAACGGTTTCTTGTCCAAAATAGTCCCTCTGTTGTATGTTTGCAGTAATTCCCTTTTTATATTTCACGCTGAAACATACCTAATATAGATGTAGTTCATCCACACCTACGTCCTTCTAATATCAGTTTCTGGTTTCAGAGATGACTACAGTGAGTTTGCAGAGTTTTGTTTCAAGGAATTCGGTGACAGGGTGCGGAAATGGGTGACTGTAAATGAACCATCAATCTTTGCTACACATGGTTATGGAAATGGAAAAAATGCGCCAGGGAGATGTACAACTAATGGCGGAAATTGTGCAGCAGGAGACTCCTCAAGGGAGCCTTACATTGTTGCTCACAATCTTCTCCTTGCACACATGCGTGCAGTCAAAATCTACAGATCCAAGTATCAGGTGAACTTTTTTATTTTGTAATAATATTACTGAAATATATATATATATATATAGAAAGAGAGAGAGAGAGAGAAACATATATGATCTGTGGATTGATTGTGTTTCATTTATCTAAACTGAAACTGAGAATTTCATCAATTTACATGCAGATAGAGTAGTTTTAGCTTCCACATACATGAAGGTCATTTGTTCATTCTGAACTTTTAGCATAGTGAAACCATTAATTGAGCAGTTGAAACTCATCATCGGATTCTCTGGAAACAGGATTTTATCATGTAAATTAACCATAGAAATTCCTCTGTTTGGTTGATTAGTAATCTGAACATAATGTTTAAATTCTGTGCATTGTGCAGCAAAAGCAAAAAGGGGTGATTGGCATCTCCTTATACGCAGACTGGTATCTTCCTTATTCATCTTCAAAACTAGATGTCGATGCAACTCAGCGAGTTTTGGACAACAAATTAGGCCTGTGAGTCACACTTTTATCTTTTTTGGACTCTGTGGATAAAAATTTTGGTGTTGCAACTCCATTCCAACATATGCCTAACTTAGAAACGATGGGTCTATGAATATATTGCAGATACTTGGATCCACTTGTGTTTGGGGACTACCCATACTCGGTGAAGCAGTTGATCAGAGATCGGCTTCCAGTATTTAGTGAGGAAGAATCAAAAGAAATCAGGGGTTCTTTTGACTTCATTGGATTGAACTACTATATGTCATCGTATGTGATGGATAATTCAACTTCTTCTGATCCTACACGGAAAAGTGACATTGCTTCAAATCCAGGGCAAGATGCGCCTGAGAACCCAGATATTCCAGACACCTTTGCTACCACCACAAGTAATTCTTCTTCTTCTTCTTCTTGATTAATTTTAATCCATTCTAGTAATGATAAAAACATTTTGCTTTAAAACGTAGGCCAGAAGGATGGTATTGCACTTGGACCCAGTGTAAGTAAAGAAAAACTAGCAAGTGATAAAGCATTGTGAAGCAGGGGTGCGTTATATTAAATTAAGGCTTTGTGAAGCAATGCAGGAAGGAGGCGTGGAGTACTGGATATCTTATCCTCGTGGGATAAAGTTACTTTTAGATAATGTCAAGACTAAATACGGCACTCCTCCTGTTTACATTACAGAGATAGGTATATTGGATACAAATCTATATATCCATATTATTTACATAAACAATGAATTTCAAGGTTAAAAAAAAAAGGGCACACACCCGGTGGGACTCGAACCCACAATCGCCTGATTAGAAGTCAGACGCCTTATCCATTAGGCCACGGGTACCCAGCTGTACCATAAATTTTGAACATATATTTTGGAATAAATATTCTAAAATTGGTATCTTTCTATAAGGTTACGTGACTCTGGACAATGGACAACCACTCCAAGATATTCTTGAAGACACAGAGAGGATTCAATACATCAAGAATTGTCTTTGTTATACGCTTCAAGCCATGAGGTAATGCAGTAATACTATTTCCAACTACCAATGTGAGAGAACACACAAATAAACAAGCTTTTTTGTTTTGTTTCTTCGAGTAACCCTTGACCCTTGTACCTGATAATTAACTATACCCATGAATTTTGCTTTTTTTTTAGCTGTTTGTGAGCAGGGGTATTGTAATTGCTTTTGTTTAGTCCTAGTAGTTCCATAGCTACAACAGTACCTGGGGTTATTTTAGGTAAACAAGAACATTTGCTCAGTCTATTTAGTTGTGCCCACTGTCCAGTCCGTGATTTTGTTAATTGGAAGCTTGTGCCAATGTTGCTGATGGCTTTGATACCACACTGGTTTAGGGGAGTGATGGAAGAAGAAGAAAACTTGTTTGGGTCCAGCTGGGGTTCTAGCTACCTAGCTTCTTAATAATTAGTATTGTGATCATATGATGGATGATGGATATATGTATGTACATGTGCAGGGAAGGAGCAGACGTACGTGGATTGCTGTTGTGGTCATACATTGATAACTTCGAGTGGAATAATGGTTACTCCTTCCGCCTTGGCCTTCACTACGTCAACTACACCAACAATGATCTACGACGCATCCCAAAAGCATCTGCTATTTGGTTTCAACAGGCAATGAATCCAAGGTCGTTCAAGATCAGGAGCTCTTTCTAGTTATTGTTTCTATATTTGTTTAAAATGTTCTCATCATCATCATCAGCAGAATTAATATTAATACAGGGGACCATCCATCATATTCTTTAATCTTTTTCAACTACTATATACATCTATCTCTATTATCTATATCTATATTACTTTAAAAAGTACCAATAGCCTCAATAATATTTCTGGAATTTTTTGAGGATAAAATTTATCCCTCCATATTTAAATTTATTCATAAAAAAAGAGGGCAAATAGGGTAATTGATTAATGATATTAAATAACTTGAAACTAGGTAATTTTAAGATGTTCAATGCATTCAATTCTCTCTTATTAAATCCAAAATTTAAGGTATTAACTTGCATTCACCTTCATTGAATCCTATATTTAGGGCATTTTTGTTTCTTTTCATTATTAAATTTTATTAATTGAATCCATATATAATAAATTGATAAATTCAATAATACAAAAACTTATACTTTTAAAATATACCTTGAAAAAAATATTTTCATCTAGGTGGTGATAAGAAATTAAATCATTTTAGTTCAAATGGGACAATCTATGTTGTCACAATTAAATAATAAAATTCAAAAGTAGATAAAACGCAAAAAATATAGAAATTAAAAAATGGAAACAATTTTAACATCAGATATTCTGCATATTAAACAAAAAAAAGTATGATAAATAAGAAATGATTTTATTAATGATGAAAATGGAATGTAAAATTTAAAACTAATTGGAAATAAAACTATTTTCCTATTTTCACTCATTAAATATCATATCTAAGGTATATTCTCTCATTAAATCCTATATTTAAGATATATTTTTCTCCCCATTAAATTCTACTAATTAAATCCATAAAATTAATTTTAATAGTATAAAAATAAATATTTAAAAAATTTTAAAAACAAAACCATTTTCTTTTCTACAGGTGGTGGGTAAGCAATTCTACCATATGGGTCAAATGGGTTAATAAATAATGTCATAATTAAATATATAATACAAATAAAAATAAAAAAAATTGGGCATATCTCTAATGTTGTATATTCATTATACTAAACAAAAAAAAAAGTATGAAATGTAAGAAGTATTCTTATTAATGTTGAAAATAGAATGCCAAATTTAAAATCAACCTAGAAATAAAATGATGTCATATTCAAATAATACAATTTTTAAAAATAAAAAATACAAAGAATCACAAAAATAAAAAAAAAATAGAAAAACATTTGGGCACATATCTAATGTTTTATATCTATAAAAAATAAAATATTGGGTACATATCTAATATTATACATTCATTATATTGAACAAAAATAAGTATTACACATAAGAAATAATTTTATCAATGATGAAAATGTAATACAAAATTTAATGCCAACATAGAAATCAAACTATTTTTCTTTTTGAGTGGTGGGTTAGTGGTTTGGGTCAAATGGATTAATCGATGATATGATATATAAATAGTAAATCTTTAAAAAATAAAAAAGGTACAAGTAATCAAAAGAATATATAAAAAATTATATATTAATTATATCTAAGTATGCATGATAAGTAGAAATTATTTATATAATGTAGATGAAATAAATAACTTAAAACTAATCCGAAAGTAAAGCTATTTTCTTATTTAGATGGTGAGTCAATGGTCTGACTTTTCAAAGAAACTTATGATGTCACCATTGAATAATAAATATTTAAAAAAAAAGATAGAACACAAAAAATGAAAAAGTGCAGAATTTTGTCAAAAACATTTAGAAACATTTCTAAATTTCTATATTCATCATATTAAATGAACATAATTGTTAAAATAAAAATTATTTTTATTATGATAGAAATGGAATACAAAAAGTTAATAATAATAATAATAATAATAATAAATAAGTATATTAAATAAACATAATTGTCTAAATAACTGGTTTCGTTTTACCCTAAATCTGGTATTTGTCCAAAAACCGTTGAAAAGTCAACAACCCATTTACCCAGGCGGTCGAACCATTGATATGTTGACCCATTCGGGCCATCCATTTGAACCGGACGATCAGACTGTCAACCCGAAAACCAGTGGCCAGATCGGTTCCATTTTGAATCGCTTTTTTAAAATGTTATGTCTAATTAATAATAATTAAAAGGCACATGATTTATGCAAGTTATTTGTCTAATAAATGAATAATAAATAATTGGAGTAATACTAATGATTATTGTTTTATAAACTAAAAATTTATAAGTTAGGGTTATTTTGCGTAAGGCTAGCTACAATAACTTGGATGGATCAATTGTAAGTCGATGGATTTAGCACTCAGTTTGATTCCGAAAGTCAAGAAAATAGTAGGGTGAGCCCAAGAAAGGAGAGAGAAGAGCTAGACGGACACCAGAGAAGGGCTACTTCCATACCTTTCAACGAGGGGGTAATTAAGCTGATATAATTGATCACCAATTCTGAAATTTCAACACTGAGAGGTAGAATATGAGATGAGAGAGAGTGGTTTGGAGGGAAAAATAATTGGAGTGAGGGATAGGGAAGAGAAAAAAGAGAGAACCATAGTATTGTTCCTCACGTGTCTTCCTATAAGGGGGCGTTCTTTTTTCAGATTTTGAAAGGGGAAAAAGTTGGTTAAAAGGATTTCGGTTCCCATTGACCAAGAATCACATGTTCTTTTTTCAGATTTATGTGGAGATCAAGGAAAGTTTATTTTCTTGAGTATCACTTATCCGGGTATGTGATACTCATCTCCTAGGTGGGTAAATAGCTTTCCCACTTAGGAGGGAAGTTGCCAATACTTGAATGAGACAAAAATGCCCCTTTTAATAATTGATTTTTATGGTTAAAATGGTCATTACCTTATTTACATGAGAAATAAAAGAATATCCGTAAATGCACTTACCCGGATAAGTGTTTCCCATAACAAACTTACCCAAATAATTGAATTTACCTGGATAAATAATTTACCGAAAAGTGAATGGGGCCTAAGTATAAACTAGTGGAGTAACCTGTGCTATGTTTGTGGAGGTTTTAGAGGAATTTGATTTGCTCAACTTCCTTGAAACCCATGATGATGAAAAGATTCAAACCCCACAATCCTTGAATCTGAATATTTGGTCCAATTATTAGACCAAATCAACCAATTCTTTCCTTTGCATCAATTATCATGGAATGAGCATTGAATGCATCATAAATGAATGGTGCTTTAGAATTATGCCCTCTTTGTTTTATTCTTCTCTTACTTTTGCATACATTCGGAGGAACATCCTGCCAGTGGCAAATGTTTTAGTTCCCTTGTTGTCATACAAAGAAATAAATCATAAACAACCGAGGTAAAAGAACAATTCGTCCAGAACTAATCATTTTTTTTTTTTAATTTCAAATCTAATCCACCCAACAAATGCTCAATCAAATTCTTCCTTATCCAATTGATTGCATCTTACCATATTAATCATCACCAATCACTGATTAATTAAAAGCACATTCAAGTAAACAAATGAAATAAAATGAACCATTACAGCCTTACAGAACACTACGTTATTCTTTCATTAAACAAACTGATCAAGACAAAGATTTACAACCTAAGCCCTTGGGCTCAAAAAGAATATACCATAAGGAGTGGAGAGAGAAAGAGAAGGTAAGCTCAACTCAAAGATCATAGGCATCTGACCCAACATCATCATCTAACCCTTTTCTTTGTTACAGCTCAGGCCTCACTCTCTCCAACAAAACCCAGTACTCCTCTTCTCCCTCAATTTCCTGTGCCTTCCTACTTTATAATTGATATAGTGGTATTCAGCCGATCACCAACCCCTACCAACTGCCACCACATGCTCTCAACTACTCCTTTATTATAAAAGGGGCTCCCACATTAAAATAAATACACACTGAAATTTAAGTTTAAAGTTTCCTCTTTTGCTTGGTCCAATCTCTCACAGCACTCATTGATTTGACTATCAGAGTCTCTGCCCCTAGATAATTCTTGGGGTTTCTAATATTTTCTTTCTCTCAGCAGGTTGGATCCATCAGCCTCGAATGTTAAAAATTACATTGTTGCCCTCAGCTCCACAATAATAATAATAAAAGAAGGGTCTTTGTTGGATCTTCTAAAGGGTTATTCCGATTTTCCCAAAAACAATATAATACATTTGCCCATTAATTTGATAGTTAATTAATCATGAGCTTCTAATCTGTGCTTCTTGTCTACCTTGTGATTTCTTCTGCTGTTGGTCTTGCTGTTGTTGCAACTTCTGGTTATGTCTGATGAAGAGCTCATTTTATGAATCGGACACTTCAGGGAAGCACCAACGGCTGCAATCCTGCTGGTACCTTAATGGAGACCTCCTTTCTTCTGTCAAATTCTGCTTTCTATAGATTGATGGATGTGCATCCTTCCTGTAGTCAGTCATTCTTGTAATATTCAAGTAGAAAACGGGTGTTGTCATCCCTTTCATTACATTCTCTAGCACTCTCATATTTTTTGGGGGATAAAGGGTCAGATAAGTTTCATTCTTTATGGGTTCAGTCGTCTCATGGTCGCATTGTCCATTGGAGATCCACTGATCACCACTGAAACCATAACAGCACAAACGATACAGCTGTGTCTGTATCAACTTTAATGGAGATAGATTAAAGCTTATGAAGCAGAGGAAAGATGTGGGTATGCGGATCTCAGTCCAAAGTTCACTGAATTGAAATCTACTTGAAATGGGAATCAGAGTAGCCCCTGAAGAAAACCATGGTTTTATTGGGATCTATATTGGAACCAACCCATCTCGCCCATGTTGTCAAAGCTCTCCTGAACGCTCAACATTCAACTCTCCATAAACATGACTTCCCTCTTGGTAAGAATCCGCTTCCTTCAAATTAACATTCATCATAAGGTTTATCTTGCTTCCTTATTTGGTTTCTAGATCTAACCAGAAGAAGACAAAGAACGACCCGATGCCATCATACATTATTGAAACGGTAAAACAAAAGAGACAAAAAAATAAAAAAAATTAAGCAGCATGTAAATATCAACCCGGGCCCTCATTCGTCATTTATTCACAGTTCACACGATACAACAAAAATCACTTGGAGATACCATTTATTTTACAAACAAGATGCCACAGCGCCCAAACCAAAC